TTTTTTTTTTAATCTATTGCGACTTGACTGAGAGATTTCTTTGTTTTTTAAAAAATCAACTATTGAGGCTTGACTTAGAGACAACAAAATGCATATTTATATTTTCAGTAAATTTTAGTAAATGTATTCACTCATATAACCATCTCTATTTTTATTACCTCAAGTTACCCATTTGTATCCCTGTTAACCCTTTCTTGACCCCTTAACCAGTCATTTATCTATTTTTCTGTCACGATAAGATCTGCCTTTTTTTTTTTTTTCTTTGAGCAGAATATATTTACTGGGGGAAAGTAAGTTTGCGAGAGGGTCAGAAGGGGACCTGAGCGGGTTGCACAAGGTCTGCCATTTTTGTTTCATGTAAACTGAATCATAATATTTTGTGTAGATTCTTTTGCTCAATGAATTTTTCAGATTCATTCCTGGTGCATGTCAAGTAGTTGATCCCTGTTGATTAGTATTCGTTACATTCCAAGGAAATGTCTCGTTTATTCAATCACCAGTTAATGGCTATTAGGGCCTTTTCTAGGTTTTGATCACTAAAGTTGAAGTTGCTATAAATATTTACATAAAAGCATCTGTGTAAATACCCAAAAGTGGAATTCCTGGATTACAGGATAAGCATGACTACAGAAGCTCTCCAAAGTGCTAACTTCAAGAGTTGCAGATTGTCGGGTTGTTCTGTGACCTTAAGGTCAAGATATGCTTACCTAAGCCAGTTTACTTTTTTAAACTCACTTAAAAACTAATCATTTTTCTAATAAATTTGATAAAAACCTTAAACCATCTAAGAGTCCAGAAAAACTTGCTTGGCTTGGCTCCATAGCTATCGTGTCTATTTTCCCTCAGACGCCTCCGGGCGGTGCCAGGAAAATTTAAACTCAGTGTCAGGCAGCAAGAGGTCCCTTCAAGTCCGTGATTGGGAAGCTCTGGGAAAGCCTCGCTGTTTTTTTCGGCCGCACCTCACCTTTCCAACAACCTCCAAACCCGTAGCAGTACATCCGGCGGGCGCGGAAGCCATAGGCCCCACCTCTTCCGGGACCCGGCCGCTCCCAGGACTTGGCCTACGGGTGGGAAGGGAAGAGGGCTTCCGGCCTCGCCATTGGTTCTATCCCGCGAGAAGTGAGAACGGCCGAACGGTGGTACTGGGGGCGGGGGGAGGGAAGGGGGTGTGGCCGGGGAGCACGAAGTCCCGGGAGTAGGAGGGGGCGGGGTCGCGCGCACCGGGCGTACGCATGCGCGCACGCGGCCGGCCGGGCTGGGCTGAGGGGAGGGGGCGGCGGCAGCGGCGTCGTTATTTCCGTGGTCCCTACGGTGCGTGGCGGCGCGGGTGGTCCCGGGAGCAGTAGGTAGGGACCGCCTCTGCGCGCCCCGAGACACTGCCTGGCTCTAGTGCCCGAGAGCAGCAGCACCCACGGTGTGCGGACCCTGGGGACACCAGGTCACCCTGCGGCCCCGGCCCTCAGCCGCGCTTCAGGTAGGAGGCGGAGGCGCGCCTGCCCGCCGGCCGCTGAG